TTAAGTACTTAACAATAGAGTTATTAAGTACTTAATAACTTGGTCATTTTTCAAAATAATTTTTACACCCATCACTATACTCAACTATGTTTGTGTTCATTATAATTTGTAACACCTCGGTCACACGAATCCCCATGATTGGTAAAAAATAAGGAAATCTTATCTTAAAAAGAGTTTTCCCACGAAACCAAACCAAACTTCCCCATCCCTATATATATAGGAGGCAATGAAAAATCTGTGTAAAGTATTACTTAATGACACTCAACAATCTAAATAAATAATTGATTTATGGCAAGGATATGAAGATGAAATAGTAATGAGGCAAAATTTGTGGATAAATTCGAATTGATACTTTGGCATTTGAATATAACGAATATAACTGATTTATCAATTAATTATTTGGTTTTATTATTGTGCTGGTGATGGCGATGATATTTTTTTTTCACTTTACTAATTAATTAATAGCTCAAAATAAAGATTTATTATGTTGCAAGCGTCAAAATATAAAAATAATATAAACAACTAACAATATTTATAATCATTTACATAATGAAATGAATCTTGCAGAAAAAATATAACACTTTATTAAATATATAAAATATAATGTATACAAGTTACAATTTGAATCTTAATATTAATATCTATATTTATATATGTAATACTCCTATTTTATAAATAACTTATAAATAAGTGCTACACATACATATTATATATATTAAATTTCTTCATCTTCATCAGAACTTGGGGGAGTTAATCGTTTTTTAAGAATTCTTTCACATCTTTCTATTATTGAAGAAGATACTGAAGAAGTAAAGGTAGGTGTAGATGTAGATAAAGAAGAAGAAATAGAAGATGATACTGATGACAAGGAGGAGGATAAAGATGTGGATTGTGCAACTATTATCACATATATATCATGTAAACGAATTTAGTTTTGAATTAATATCAAATAATATTAATATAAACAATAACATTAAGATGATTTACTTTTCCCGTTCTCGTTTTTGTTTGAGAATTTCTTTCTAGATGCTGAATTTGAGGTGTTGATGATACAAGTATTATTAGTAATATCAGTATCAGTATTATTATTGATAGTATTATTATTATTAGCAACGGTGTCAGGGTTGGTAATATCATTATCATTATCGTCTTCATTATCATTATCATTATCATTATGATCATTGTTAACATTGTTGATATTATTATTATTAGCATCATTATCATCTTCACTATTATCATTGTCATTCATAGTAATAATGTTGTTGAAGGTGACAGTTTTTGTGATTTTCTTGGTTTCTTTAGATTTTTCAGGTAAATTTTGTTCAGATTTAACCATGGAATTAGCTTTAGAAATGGTCATAGCATCGTTGTCATCATCATCGACTATTTAACAAGATTTATTAATAAATAAAAATAAAAATAATTCTTCAAGTTGTTTATTAATTACCAAAAGATTGATTGCCAATAAAATTTGTTTGTTTAGCGTCCTGGTGATTGGTTTTGGTGGACGGTGGTATGGGTGTAAATAATGAAGATGATGGAGCAGAAGAAGGTGTAGGTGAAGTTACATTTTTTGGAGGAGGAGCAGTATCATTACGATCAGTTGTATGAACGTTTGTGTGAATATTAGTGGTAGGTGGAAGTTTAGAAACATGAATTGGTGTAGGCGTAGTAGGCGTAAGATTCTTCCTTGATTGTTTTTTGTCGTTGGTCTTGTATTTATTGATTTTCTTTGGAGCAAGATTATTTTTGTTGTTACTCTTTGAATTCTTTAAAAGTTCTGAAAACTCATCAAAAATATCATAATTATGATGTTGTTGATAACTCACAGTAGATGCAGAGGAATAATTATTTGTAAATTGATTTTTTGAAATAATTTGACCTAATTTACATGATGATACAATCAAACCTTGTTTATTTTGTTCTTGACTACTTTGATCGTTCTTTTGTTGTTGATTATCAAGTTTTTTCTTAAGATCATTTATATTAACTTTATTGTTATCATCATCATCATCGTTATCATTATCATTATCATTATCATTATCATTATCATAGATAGTTTTTAGTTTATTATTTCTACTGTTGATTTTTTTATTTGTAGTTGATTTAGAAGATTTAGAAGATTTTTTGGGTCGCTTAGTTGGTAATGGCATTTTTCTTTAAGGATTTATTAAGAAAAGAAAAAGAAAAATTCCATGATCCATATATTTATGTCAATTACCACTTAAATATTCAACAGTTAATTTTGAGATTTAAAAAAATTTAGAGACCGATTGACTATATATGACAATAAATTATAAATCCGAAATACTCAATGTTAACATATATTATCCTAATTTTTATAAATGCAATCCCAACAAGCAAAATTGCTCCATTGATAGGATATATATGAATATATGATACTAGCAAAGTTCCAAGGTGAACTATTTGTGATTAGCTTTCCAAGATCTCAAAAATCAATTAATTCATTTTTTATTGTTCATATATTAAACCCAGAAAGATCAATCAACGTTAATTAAAATGAGAAATATTGCTACATAGTTACACGCGATTGCACGTCTTTATAATGATAATATGGGAAAAGATCGTCGAACCAACTATAAATTCTTGTCACGTCCCGTCTGACAGCAGGCGAATAAATTTTTTATTTGTCTATTTATTTACAGGTGTATGACGTTTTAAACATTGGATATAAAAGCAATTTTAGTACTTTTGATGCAATTTATAATGAATGTATCAGGTATTTTGTTGTTGTTGTTGTTGTTATTATTATTATTATTATTATTATTATTATTATTATATTATTATTAAAATTATATATAAATTATACAAATTAAAAGATTGAGGATTTATAAAAATAAAATAAATAAATTTATAACAAATAATTAATTATTAATTACAAAAATAATAAGTACTTACAAAAATCACAAGTAATTACAAAAATAATAATCGTAGTAATCACAGATAACAATAATCAATCTCATAAATCTTCTTTTCCTTCCCCTCATAAATTCTTCATCTTGTAAGCATATAAATCTTCTGCTCATAAACTCTTTCTCTTTTGAACATAAACACGATGTACGATTAAACTACTTTTATTTGTCTCGGCTTCATCCATATAAATTTTCAAATATTTATCAAAATCTTTAGGTTTTACACCGAGATATTTATTAAATTTACTCAACATTGCCTCATAAGAACCTTTCATGAATTCGGCACCCGACTCGCCTAATTTACCACCCCATTTACCAATTGGCATGTGTTTCTTTTCCAAATGTAGACTGGCAAGTTCCGGTAATGATTCTAAAATTTCTGGCCACTTGTGAATTATGAATGGGTTTACATTACTATCCTGTAGAAACTTGATTACTGGGAGCAATAAATAAACATACAATTAAATTAAATCCAGAGAAATCAGTATTTTTCAAAGAAATAAATGAATACTTGCCAGCATTCAATAACATTTCTGTAGCTGGTCCTGCATTATTAACTACTAATTCAGTTTCCATTAACTATTTTTAATATTGTTGACGTTATAATTAATTAATTAGGATTGTTAGTGAAAAGTGGAAACACAACATCATATTATTAATATGATAAAGTGATAAATATTTGCCTCTATCCATCCGCCCGGTTTAACTGTTCTTATCAATTCTACAAAAATAGCAAATAAACAACTGATTAATTATCGCATTAAACCATTATTTAACAGAGGCTCGATTAATCCAACATATTGATTCAACCAACCAAATCTCACCTTTGATGACATTTTCCCATTCCACTTCACTATAATCAAACAAATTAAATCTCAAAAATATAAAATCGAAGGAATCGTTATCATATGGTAAACCATCAACAACATCAGCTTCTTCAAATTTCACATCAAAAGGTTTCAACTCTGATTTCAATGGGACTAGTATGTCTGTACCAATAAAGTTACACCCTGGAAAATCCGCAGACATCTCAAATAACCAAGTCCCAGTCCCACATCTATCAATACAATTGATCGATTGATTAATTAATTGACATTATGTTCTAATGAATGCATATCATAATAAGAATATTTTATATATATAATAAATACCCAACATCCAATACTCTTGCCCATCCAGTATTTAATACGTCGTGTACAGGAGAGGAGAAATTACTTTTAAAAACCTCTCTCATAAGATTATGTCTCAAGTGTTGACGTTTTTTTTCATTCTCGTCGTCAGGAAAAATCTTGTAATAATTGTTTAATGCATTCGAATCGATAGTTGCACTTGCCGCTGCTCCTTTGGACAAGCCTTTGCCCATTTTTAAAATAGTTGATAATGATAAATTGTTGATGCAGAATAGATGTGGATGTACGCTATTGTGGATATTATTATTACTATATTATAGATTATTTTAAAGATTTATAAGATATAATATGATATATATATATATATATATATATATATACTTTATATAATAGAGAAAGTTGAAAAAAAAATCAAATTCGAAAATTTTTTTAAAAAAAAAAAAAAAAAAACAAATTAAGTAAATAATTAAAAATGACCCTTTTTTCCCTTACATACAAAAGAATATTTTGAGAGGTGAATGTAATCAATCATTCATTTTTGTTTTGTTTATCAAATAGTCAAATGTTTATCTTTTTACTCATTTTTAGGAAAAAAGTTGTTATCATTTATTAAAATGTTTATCTAAATACCATAAATGGGGCTACAGTAAAGTTCTAAAAAATATCGGAGGAGTGCCCGATTTGGAACTTTTCAGAAATTTGTAATGTCTTTGTTCAGATATTTTTAAAAATTAACATTGGAGAAGAAAAGATTCATGACGGTGATTCATTCATAACATGTAAAATTAATTTTAATTTTAATTTTAATTTTAATGATGATAACGTTGATGCTAATGTACAAAAAAAAAAATAGAGATAAGGTTAAAAAATTTACACACGTGTAACTATAGCTACATGCATTGACAAAATTTGTAATCAATGTTCCACATATTAAATCTATTTTTATATGTATTTGATAGTGATTTTGGCTTTTGACTTTTAAGAGGGAAACAATGTATATGAACATATTGGTCATTCTAAATTTTTATTAGAATTTTGCACACTCGTTGCAGCAAAGTGAACGCATCAATTTTGATGTCGAACAATTGCTTAGCGTCATGATCATGATTGTGTGATATCAGTAGTTTTATGTCTTTTCATTTTCTTAATTATTCAATATAAGCGTAGATTAGGAGGTCTTTATGAAATTGGACTATGTTAAATGAATGGATCAGCAGCACTAGTGAACGTTAGGTCCTTGCGTATGAGATCGATTAGTTTTGTATGATTATCCTGTTAGGGATATCTGCAACTGCAATTTATTGGGCGATTGCTGATAACTACATAGTAGTTGTGTTGGGATTATCAGAATGGAGTAATTCATATCATATTGATTTATAAGAGGAAAATTAATTTGCAGTTGTATTGATGATGTATGTATTTTTTGAAATTACCAGGGACTCATCCCTGATTTTCTCCATTTCTAGGGAAATTTGGTTATCAATGCCTTGTTTAAGAAACTTATGATTCACGGGGGAGGATTACCTTTTAATTTATAAATAAATAATAATATCATTAATATTATATCATGCTTAATGGCTCAAGTGTACATGGGCATTTAATCAATTACATATATAATTATTATTATTAATCATTCACATATGTATATGATTATTTGATATTACTTGAATAAAAAAAAAATTAATATTAAGCTTAGGTTTCAGATTTAATGTTATCTTATCCTTTCTTGTCCATCCAAGCATTCAACACCTGGGCATAGGAGAGACCTCGCAATTTATACAGGCGTAGCTATTAATATGTAATTAATTAATAATAACTTGCAGCTCCAGGATAAATGTTTATTGGCATCATTTACCGTCTAAATCTTTTAATCCAGTTAGAGAACTAATACTGGGATGTTATTATTATCCCGATTTGGAAAGAAGCTTACGAGCTGGTTTTTTCTCTTACTCTATCAGGAAAAGGAAATGAGGTAGCAACCTAAAGTTAATACAAAAGGAAAAAGATGATGGTTATAGGTAAACCGTTCCTTTGTTGTCGTTGTTGTTGTCTTCAGATTGAATTTGTTGTATACATTAATATATTAATGTGTATATCAATAAAATTTAGAGCCACTCCACCCATTCTGGATTTTCCATCCTTCGGTATATAACTTCGACCATTTGATTTGTTGATTATTAATTCACCCGCAAATTACGCTGATTCATTCATTCATTCACCCATTCTTAAATAAATGGTCAAAATTGCTTTTATGTGACAATTTTAGTAATATTAATTCATTTGGTTTAATTCTTTAGTCAGCTTAATTAGTTTTCTCATTTCACAAATAGATAATGATTCATAAAAAAAATATTCTTTGATATTATATAGACAGAATGTCCAAAAATCAAAAAATCAAAAAAAGACCCAGTAAAGAATATTCCCAACAAAAAATCAATCGTATTTAACCTTTTTTTGTGTTTATTTATTTTGTCTTAAATTCGGCTGTTTATGGGATGTCACGATTCGCAAATGTTTATTAAGGTTGAGATTGGGATTAGGATTAAATGTTTCTTTTTTTTAAAGGATGTGGTTTATAAGCTGTCAGATGATCAATCAATTTCGGATATATCAAACAACAAGAGTAATATTCTAATCAAAATATTATAATCAGGATGGGAGTTCTGGTTTTAGACGATCCACTTTTTCATATCTTAATTCAACAAGAGAAATAAAAGCGTCTGACGTCAATGATGCTGTATTGTATGTATCGCATAGAAAATATAGAGAAGATGCTACTATATTTGGACTTGATCTCAATGATTCCGAAACTATGCAGGGATTTTCATTTATCCAAAGATTTAACCCCCTTCTACTGTTAATAGGATAATAGAGACATCAAATCATTTGAGAAAAGTTACAAAATATAAAAAATAATGGAGGTTATCAAATAGCTGTCATTCTTTGAATTATTTTTTCTAAATGACTGATTTGATCATTATAGTAAGCATAAAGCAAGGGTACAAAAAGAGCATCAAAATTGCATGCAATGCTACACGATTCACTTGGACCAGTTAAAGTTTATGGAGCTATAGTTAACCTGAATGCAGATAGTCGCTAATTTGTTTTTGAGTTAAATTTTATTCGTTGAATAAAGCATCATTACAATTGGTGAAATCACAAGCAAGTATTTTAATTCAGGATTGAATTGAATTGATTTGATTTAAATTAATAGATCATATTTATTTATAAATCTGGTCTTATTCGCATAATAATTGTTTGTTTAACTGATATATAAAATTAAATTAAGATATCTCTAACTAGAAATCATTACAGAATCGGTTAGAATTCTACAAGAGTTTGTTCACAACCAACACATTGGACCATGAAGATTGAAAATTTTCTTAATTAAGTCGGCTGTGGTTTTAACTTCCAACTTTGGAAATTGAAATTTTGTCTTGGCATTAATGGTTGCCAAATTACTGCCAATCAAGTGCAAATCTTAGTACAGTTCATCTGTATGTATTGCCCATATCAAATCATAACCAAAATCATTCGTTGGTAAGGGCTTGTTCAATAATTAATTTTTCTATTTGCCATCAATTACATGAGTTGTACAAAAAGTTCTGAGAAAATGCATGAATTTGAAGGCAATTAATTGATTTGAAATAAAAGACAGAGTTCCCATCTTTCAAATAAAAAAGGCAAATCTTTTTTTGGTTGTTAATTATTGAGATATTAAATTTTAAAGGTTAACAACAAAAACAACTGGAAATTTTTGTCATAAGGTACATAACTTGGTGATTTTAAGTGTAATAAATTTGAAAAAGTTTATTTTCTTTTACCAGTTAGTTATTGAGAGATATCGAATTTTAAAAATTATCACCATAAACAAGCCTTGTACATTGGTTGTTGAGAAAAGCTAAAATAAATTAATGCATTCCTTCAAAATAGTTCCCATCATTATCTATGCATTTTTGTAGCCTATTTTTACAATTTTCAAATGATTCTGATAGTCCTCTTTTGTAATGCCATCTGTGATTGCCTGAATTGCACATGCAAGATTTTCAATATGATCAAAATGCTTATTTTTTAGCTCTTTTTTAATTCTAAGAAATAGAAAAAAGTCACAAGGAGCTAAATCCAGGCTATATGGAAGGTGGAGGAACAAAATAGTTTTTTCCTCTTCTAAATATTCTGTTACAATTTTTGATTTGTATGGAGCAACATTGTCATGATACATCACCACATTTCTTATTGTTTTTCTATTTTTTAATTTTTATATTTTGAAAATACACTAGGCAATAAATTTGTACTATAAATGTGCCATTTACAGTCTGAGCAAAAATCACAAAACATCCTTTTTTTAGCATTTTGTGTAGTTCTAGTAATTTGCAGCTGATTTTCTCCACTTTTAACCCATGTTTTATTTGATTCTTTATTTGGTACAGCATAAGTTTCATCACCTATAATAATATTATTAAGTCCATTATCAAGGATTTCTAACAATTGCTTAGAAATTTCAACCTGGTTTTTTTTATTTTCAACAGTTAAAACATGTAGGTCCCATTTTTTACAAACTTTTAATTCATTATGTAAAATATTTTGAATACTTCCTCAATAGCTGTAATTGTCATATGAGGATCATCACTAATTAAATCATCAACTTTTGCAATGTTTTCAGGGGTGGAAGTTTCTTGAGGATGTCCAGAACATGAATCATTTTCAACACTATTTTTTCCACTTTCAAGTACTTCAATCCAATGATAAATAGATGCTAAAGGTACTGCATTAGACCCCTCAGCAACTTGTAATTCCTGTTGAATTTGTTTAGCTGGTTTGCTATTTTTCCAGCTAACAAAATGTAGTATCTTTGGTATTCATGTTTTGAATTTTCCATTTGTTTCTACTGGCAAACTTTAAAAATTTATAACTTAACAATAAATGACTCAATTTGAATGATTTTTTTTTATTTATTTAAAAGATTGTGGCTTAAGGGTTTTTTATTCCCATTTTTACTTTTATTAAAGAAAAGATCATCAAGTTGCATGTATTTTCTCAAAACTTTTTGTACAACCCAAATATTTTGCTTTTGTAGCTTGTGATGTAAATTACATGTTATACATACATATAATGGTTCTACCGAGTATGAAAAGGCAAAACCATTTTTTGAAAGTGGGTTGCAGTTCCCAAAAAGAGTTTTCTGTACTATGTGAAGCCCTTTGAGATAGACATTTTCTTAATATCTCAGCTTGCTCAGAGCAATGGAGCAATATCCTGGGAATTGATTGCCATGTCTAATTTTGAACATATAAGAAATCATCTGATAAAAATAAATGGCCTTATATCAAGAGTTCATGGTAATGAAAAGAAGATGTCTCAGTGGCAAACAAAAATGGCAATTCATTAAAAATGATGCTACTATTGTAGAAAGTGAATAGTATAAAAAGTGAGAATAGTCAAAAAAAAAAATTTTTTTTGAAAGTCAAAAACCAGACAAGGAAAGAACAATACATAAGCCACTTACAACAAGAAAAAAGCTATTGAAACAAATAGAATTAGGTTAAGTAAGAATTAGTGCCAATGATATTTACACCCAGACAAAATAACATAGTTTTTGAGATATTCATTAAAATCCACTAATATGAAGGAAAATTTATTACATTGAAAATCAAAAATTCAAAAACAATAACCTTAATGTTTAGTAAGTGTTTCCTTTATTTGTTCAATTTGATGAACTTTGTTTGGCAGAATATATACATTAATTCACTGTGAATTTTTTGTTTGTATGTAGTAAATCCTTTTCTTCAATATACACAAAACTTTGTCAAAAAAAATTTTTTTTGGTTTTCCATGAATTATTTTATTGTTATTATTATTATGTGGGATATTTTATGTATCCGTGTCTCTAGAAATGTCAATTGATATCGAAAAAAAGTCATGTGAAAATACGTCCTTGACAGATGGGTTACATCAAGCGATCTACGCACGTTTTTAATAAAATCCTGATATTCGTGAATATCACAGATTACATCGTAATAATAATAATAATAATAATCACAAACTGGGAGCTAGTATGAATTTCTATTTTGGACGAAAATAATTATCGACTGTGACATTGAACGATTTTGTCCCCTGAAGTTTTTAGATTCATTTAAATCACTATCGCATACAGACCGGCACATAGAAAATGAATGGGAAAGTTAATATTTATTGTAAATCTATCTTTGTGTATGATAATGTACGATGTGTAATTCACAATAAACAATGGAAATTATGTGTTCATTATTTGTTGAATTATATAATCAAATCAAATCAAATCAAATCAATCATATTTTAAAGTTTTCTTCTGCGATCAGAAAATCCATGTGATACCAATGTGTGTAATTTTATTACATGAATGCAAAAATCAATCAATCCCTCACAATATATGTGACATTCGTATATTTGGTTGTAAATATAATAAGTTGAAAAGCCAATTGGTAAAATTTGACTGACATTGAGCTTTTAAAAATTAAGAAAAAATGTCTTTTCTAAACCAAATGATGATGATAATTTAATATATTCAAATTGTTTTATGTGAAATTCGGTTTTTTTTGAATTGATTTTTCTTGTGTTCACAAAATCAATTAATTTAATTAATTAATATAATTAATATAATTGTTATTAATATTACTATATAAGCATTATTTTTTTTATTTTTTTGTTTTTGGCTAAAAAATATATTCATTTTGTAATATAATGTATATAATGGCAACAATAATAGTAAAAAATAAAAATAAATAAAGGTCATTTTCCTATTTTTTTTTCCCCCACAAAAAAAAAAACTTCAAAATTTAAATTTTCTTAAATAATTCCATTTCGTTCTTTAAGAAAACAATGTTTACTACTAAACAATCCATCGACATCACTCCTCCTCCTTCCCACACTAACAATATTTCTTTTATTTCATTACCATCGGAATTACTTTGCCAAATTTTTTCTCATTTCGATCACAATTTAAAACCATCCTCCTCGTCATACTTTCCTTCTTCAACGTTTACCAATCAAAAAATAAACTTAAAAACCTTACATTCATGTTGTCTCGTTAGTCGGCATTGGTGTATAAATGCCATTCCTCTTCTTTATTCCAACACATTTAGTCATTATCAATTCATCAATACAAAAAAATTAATTGAGACTTATTTAAAATGTATTAAATATAATGAAGATGGAAATAGAGGTGAAGATGGAGATGATATTTCATCATCACCATCATCACCATCATCATCACCATCAAGTTTACACGATCATTCCACTTCCACTCCTTTCAATTTGTCTCCCTCGATCTCCCAAGCAACCCCTTCCACTTTGTTTAATTATCCTTCATATTTAAAACACTTGGATTATTATGGTTTGATAGTGTCAATCAAAAGATTTCTATCCTTACGCTCATTATACACTTTTGATCAATCTTCAGATATAACTTGCAATGATGGTGTCTTATCAATACCAAGATCACCAACTTCTGTCAATGACAAAGCTTTGGTTTTGGAATTACAACAAGAAAAATCCAAAAATTATTTAATTAAAAGATTTTTGAAATTATTTTATGATAACAATTCAATCATAACTTCACTGATAATTGATACAGATGATGAAACAACTTGTTCATTGAGTGATGAAGAATATCTATTATGGTATAATAATGAAGACAAGAATGACCGTTTATTATTTAAAAATCTTAAAAATTTAATTGTCAAAGCGAATTTTTGTCAAGACAATTTATTCTTTAAATTAAAAGATGTCTGCAAAAACTTGGTATTTATTTAAAATTACAATTACAATTACAATTACTTTTATATTATATATATTAATTAATAATTGTTATTTATTTATTGTATTAGGAAACATTGAGGATCAATATGTCAAATTTTATAGCTCATAATAATAATAATAATAATAAAAAAATCGAATCGCAAAATCTTGCAATTCTCATCTCTTCCCAAACAAATCTAAAGCATTTCGAGTTATACGGTTTCGAATGTTTCACAGAATTAATCCTTCCATCCTTAATCTATCAATCTCACTCACTTCAAACGTTGATTCTAGAATATTTGGATTTCAATGATTGTAATAATGATTCTCTGACAAGTATATTAAATTGTCGTAAATTACAAGTATTAAAATTTATTGGTTGTACTAATCTTAAAAAAGAAACATTTAAATGTCTGGAGAAAAGTGCAACAAATACTAGTAATAGCAGCAATTATTGGAGTGAATTAAAAGATGTTTGTGTTACACCCAATATGTGTGAAGAAATGAGAAATTGGGCAAAAAGAATTAAAAATAATAATAACAATATTAATTGTAATATTAGTAGAAATAATAGATCAATTAATAGGATAATAGAATTATCACAAAATACAAATTTAATAAAAGGTGTAAAATGAGAGGTATTGGTGTTTTGATAATTATACTGTAGATCAGGGAGAAATAATTGTTTTTTTAGATATTTGATTTAAAAAAAAAAAAATTGTAAATTATTAAAATAATAAACGTAAAATTATTTTTAAAAATAATTGAAATCATCAAAAAAAAAAAAAAATTAACCAAATGAATTATTTCCATAATCTAATACTGAGGAATCCTGCAAATATTGCCATAATTCCTCCAAATCTTAACATAAATCCAATGCTATCATTTCTTCCTCCACCGTCATTATTATTTGATTCTAATATTGCAAATATTACACTACTAATAAATGTCACTAGAAATTGTGGCACCACTACAAAAATATTATGTATACCTAATATTATGCCTGCATCTGTAAATACCGCGCTATTATTATCATTGTTGATATTATTAATTTCATTATCGATATCATTGTCATTATTATCAATATCATCATCATTATTATTGTCAATTATAATTTTGCCATTACTTCTGCTACTGCTATTGTCATTGTTATTATTGTCACTGCTATCAATATTATTATCATTTGTGTCGTTTGTGTCATGATAGTCCTCATCTTCTTCATCTTCTTCCACTTTAACAGATTTAACAGGTTTATAACTCATTTCTTGTGCTTCATAACTTTCATCACCATCATCATCGTAATTATCACTATTTAATGATAATCTCGATTGACTTGATATGACCTCCCCTAATATGGAAAATGGTGCCCACATGGAAACTGCCCATGATATTCCAACTAAACTAAATAGAAAATCTGCTTGATAAACTTCTGTGACGAACAACGTTAATAACATGCTACCTCCAAATATAAAATGTGATATCGTCCATAGTCTTGGCAGAGTGAGCCATGGAATTGGCAATCTAAATATTTTTGATGTTATGGTTGCGGAAGAATTTGATAATGCTGTTGTTGACGATGATGAGTCTGATGGATTTACCAGGAATGGTAGTACAACGGAAGCCATCATACTGACAATTGAATAAATCAATAAAGTAAGCGATCCAATTCTTGTAGAATCCCCCAACTTATCTTCTTCATTATCATCGCCATTACCAACAACAACAACATTACCACTATTACTACTGCTGCTGCTGCTACTACTATGATTATATACTTCTGACACCCATACTGTTGCATAAAATAAAAATGGAAACCATCCAATCCATGCAAAAAATTGCGTTGTGCATAATAATCGAACTGTCCTAGGTAAATTTCGAAATGATTTAATTATCGTCGCCAGCACTTCAAATGCCTCGACTAATGGATTCTTGGTTTCATCGCTATTACAAATATAATAAAATAATGACAATTAATATAAATGATAATAGTAATTAATGTTGTAATTAGCTATATACATAACTGACCTTCTTTGAAGAACCTTTTCGCTAATAGTCCAACAAGTTATTCCGATAGAACTCAATAGAATTATTGATGCTAGCGCACACAAAACTTGTAATTGTGTTCCGCCAAGAAATGGGAATACTGCTGGTAAATCAATAAATCCCCTAATAATCCGAAATTAGATAATATTATTGATAAAATAATAAATAATAAAATCATAGAAATATATATGCACATATGTGACTCACATGAAATAGCCTGCAACACCACCAATTCCAATCATTCTTCCTGCCCATGCTGTACCCTCTTCTTGTTGCGAAGTGGATAAACTATCAACAATAAGTGCTCGACAACTGGCTTGAACTTTATTGATACGTGTATATATATATTATATTATAATTATTAAAAAAAAAAATTTTTTTTGGCAAATTATTATTGATTTGTTGTGCAAATTTCATTTAATTTATTTATACTTACTCGCATTAATAGCAAAATCTAAAAGATAAAAAGAAACTACCGCCAAACTTTTCTTTAATGTTAGTGACTAAGAAGGAAAAAAAAAATAATTTAAAATTATAGACTCATATTATATTATTCAATTATATTATTGATGTATAAAATTTACTGTAGGTGATTCTTCATCAACAAGACTGTAAACAATTTCTTGTGTCCAGCCAATAAACATTAATGCTATCGCCACTACAAGACTCCCAATCACCATAAATGGTCGCCTCCTACCAAATCTTGATGTTGAATTATCAGAAAGCGCTCCAACTATAGGTTGCATCAATAATCCTAAAAAGTTATGATAATTAATTATATACAAATTACGCTACATATATTCATATACAAATAAATATACATGTATATGAAAAAAGTGTACCTGAAAGTGGACCTGCAACCCATACTAAAGACATAAGTGATTTAGAAAGTCCAATTGAAAGCAGATATGGTGTCCCTAATAAACATGCAAATACGTAAATATATACGTATAAATAAATATCACTTTCCACTCATTTCATCCACTCACTATCTCATTCACTCAAATCAATAAATTACCATATGACAATTCTACAGCCCCTATATTTTATATAATAAAAAATAAATTAAAATGATTATTAATATTTGTATATATTTATTGAACGATTGATTAAAAAAAGAGAATAATTCATATAAATTTACCTACAAGTAAATTGTAATCTGTCAGGAGAAAAATAATAAATTAATTGATATTAATTAAACTTCAATTTAAAAATTTACAAATTAACTTTATCATATTTAATTATTCAATTTACCCTGCTATACACTGTGTCAACAACACCATTTTCAATGTTCTATTTCTACTAGCCGAGCGAAAAAAGCTTTGTTCATTCAACTGATAACTCGCTGTTGTTGTTGATTGACGACGGCGATGACTATTTTCTCTACTAAATCTTACTCGTCGTTGATTCAACTCTATGTTTTCTCCTTCCTCATTGTTATAATTATAGTCATTGTCATCGTTACCGCCTTCTATTATTATCGTCTTTTGGTTAAGCTCTAATTCATCAGCTGAAGACTGAGGGGTTAATTCATTCATATTAATATTAATAAAATGAAGTCAAAAATTTCAGGGTTCATATTTTAGTAACCATCTACTACTGTACAAAGTATCCCCAATAACGTGACTAGTTGCAAAAAAAAACGCAACATTGCTTAATATTAATATTAATATTAATATTAAATTATTTATTATTATCCCTTTGTTTAATTTGAGATGCTAAAAAGGGACGGGCGGATGTGGCCCGTCCTTTTAGCATCCAAATTAATATTATATCAGTCAACGCAGTTGATCATTCATTTAAAATATCCGTGTAACTAATCGGTTTTTGTAAAGCTATTACTATTGCTATGTATAGTTATTCAAAAATAACATTCCTTTTCACTTCAAAATTAAGATTTTTATCCGATATTATCTTTGTAAACTTGATGAAGATCCAAAATATTATTAACTTTCATATGGGTGGGTATGTGGATTGTTGTTTATCAATACGCAAATAGGAGTAGAAGATCGATCATTAGTTCGCAATCAATATATTGATAAAATGATTAATTTCCAAATGTGGTAAACTTAACGCCTCTATTTACTATATAATAATAATAACCTCCCCAAATTTTTCGAAAAAGGGATAATAATAAAGGTTTGATGTCGATCACCAAATTGTAAAATTTGTCAAACAAAAAATGTAAAGCTAAACCAGAACTTCAAACGACCATTAAAGCAAGGTTCTAACTTAAATTTTGGTTGCTCTACGAAAGGTTGAAAGTATTTCTTTCATCTCAAGACTAGCAGAGAGAATAAGCTAAAAAACAATGCGTTAAAGTGTGCTCTACAAAGTCATTGTTGAAGGCTAGACTAGAAACCTTTTGACTTTGTAAGAATTGAGATTCTAGTTGACGTAAAATAATAAATAACAATTCCAATTTTAAACGTCATTAATATTATCATCAAATTATTAAGCGAGTAGGAATTGCATTAGTGAATAATAAGAGTGTAATTGTTATTACTATGTTAAATGCATTCAGAATTATTCACTTTCAATTTAAAAATGATATTAATATATATTATTAAATAATCTATTGATTCGACAATTTGTTATTATATGTCGATTAAGATGATTCTCTGTTTTAAATTTGGTGTTAACTGTAGTTTTTGAGCGTATATACCTGTTCCACAAGTTAATCGAACATAAACTTTCAGTTACACAATGTACTTTGATGATAATATTGACTTCTTTTACCAATGACAATATACATATTTATTTACATTAAACAATTAAAAAATTTTTTTATTATTTATAACATCTCTCCCATTAACCCATCTCTTTTTTTTAATAATTCTTTAAATCAATAGAGTAATTCATATATATTCATAATTTTATAGATAGACAAATTAATATAGATAAATTTAAAATATAAAATAAAATGGGTTTATCAATTTCAAAACTTCTTCAAGGTCTCTTTGGTAAGAAAGAGATGCGCATTTTGATGGTGGGTTTGGATGCTGCTGGTAAAACCACCATTTTGTATAAACTCAAGTTAGGTGAAATTGTTACCACCATTCCTACTATTGGTAAGCCATATATACACTCAATCAATTAATAATAATTATTATAATAATTAATAAATTAAAAATAATGAATTCAAATTTTCTATTTATTTTCTAAAGGTTTCAATGTTGAGACAGTAGAATATAAAAATATTTCTTTTACTGTTTGGGATGTTGGAGGTCAAGATAAAATACGGCCACTTTGGCGTCATTGTAAGCTGTTTTTAATATTTTTTATATGGTGTATATTTATTATATATATATATATCATATATATATATATATATACATTTATATAGCATAATATAATATCTTTACCACAAAAGCATCTTGACCATACACATCCATTCATATATCTATTAATCACTGACTCGCCCATTATCAATCATTATTACAGATTTCCAAAATACACAAGGTATTATATTTGTAGTTGACTCAAATGATCGAGAACGTATTTCAGAGGCAAGAGAAGAACTTCAACGTATGCTTAATGAAGATGAACTTAGAGATGCACTTTTGTTGGTATTTGCCAATAAACAAGATTTACCTAATGCAATGAATGCGGCAGAGATTACTGATAAACTTGGACTCCATTCTCTTCGACAACGTCATTGGTATATCCAAGCTACATGTGCTACAAGTGGCGATGGTCTTTATGAAGGATTGGAATGGTTAAGTACTAATTTGAAACGAAAAGTCTAAAACTTTTAATGATAGTGTAGAAGATTCAAAATTGGAAATATAAATAGAAAAAAACATGAAAAAATATAAATTAGATTTATAAAAATTAAGAAAAATTATTAATTAATTATCAGTTATTGTGTAATATTAATAAAAAATATATTTAATTATTTAACTAATAATATCTATTATTATTAACTACAGTAATTACCATTTTAATAATAAAATTTTATTTAAATCAAAACTTTTGAATCTTTAATTCATTGTTAATTTTATTATTTATTATTAGAAATACTTTACTATTAATTAAAAGTATTTAAAAACAATATACAGTATATATTTTTACATATATTTGATAGAACACTTTTTTATTTTATTTTTTAATTTTTTAATAAAGAATTCTTTATCAAGAATATAAGAATATTATAACAGTAATATTATTATCTTTTATATATCTCAATTGATCGACTAAATTTTCCTTTCAGAATAACACACCGGAAAATTTTTAAAATGTCAAGTCATTGGATTCTTTTCTAATAAATCTTTATTGAATCACATCATCAGTAATTTTTCATTTTCTTTTTGCTGGCTATTTGAATCTCTATGATAATCAAAATTCAATGCGTGAGGAGTATCGAGGAAAAAATCTTCATTATTCTTATTTTAAAACTCTTGATCCTTCCAGTCACTTTTTTATTTGTTTCAAACAGATCTGCAGCATAAGTTTCAGTTGCCAGTTTTAAAAGACATTACTATACGTTGTAATGAATTGTTTTAGTAAGAATTGTTCCCAAAGAAACTTCCGTTACTATTGCTACTACCTGTTCCAATTGCTTCAATTCCATCTAGGTTATGTATATGATTGATAGATGTATTAATAACGCCTCTCGGTTATGTATAACTCGAAACCTTTTCTTTTCAAAAATCCATTTTTTGCCACAATAATCAAGGAACGCGCGTTTTTTATAAAGCTGTCGTACACATATCCAATGTTTCACCGGATTAACGATCCTCGCTCATAGAAGATAAGCTGATGTAAAATGTGGTCGTGGACCAAGTATTAAAATGGAAAAAAAGGAAGGAACAACAATGAAAAGTTTTAAAGAAAATTGTTACACGTACGTACAATCGTTAACGTCTTATGATCAATTCAACTCAAAAAAATATAAACATTTAATAAATAACTTGTGTCTCGATAAATAGTTAAATAAATAAACAATGGATTAATAAAGGAAAAAAATTAATTTTTAATATTTTGCCTTATGATTTATTTATTTATTGTTTATTTTATCAAAACCCAAATTCAATCTAATATTTAGAAAGCAAAAAAAAAGAAGTTTAAACAAGAGTTTTTATATTATCAGTTATCTTATCTCCCTATATAAATAGAAACGCGCGTACAATGTTTTTTTACGAAAATATATAAATAATCAAATAATTTATTATATATTATTTATGAATTCATTCTTTAAAAATTTTCTAAATAATTTTTTTCAATCTTTTAATAAAAAAACAATATTTGTAATAATGACTTCTATTTTGCTTTTATCACCAAAACTTTACACTTCAACTTTTTCTTACGAAAACAACAAATCTTTTTCTTCTAAAGAAAACTCTTTTCGGGAAAAACCTAATAATAATAATAATAATAATAATAGTAGTAGTAGTAGTAGTAAAAATAGTAATAGCAATAATAATATTATAAAATATTCAGCTACAACAAATAATATTAACATTAATTATCCACCAAAAAGTAATAATAATCGCAATGCATTTATAGAATCTGCGTCTGCATCATTTGTGTCATCGTCATCATCTGCATCATCTGCATCACCTGCATCGTCATTAAAACCTTTAAATTTTTATCGATATTCACCAACTTGGTCAAATAATAATAACTATAACATTGTAAAATATCCATCTGCATTTACACCCACACCTTTATATTCAACATCTGCACCTAATTCTACATCCAAATCATACTCAACATTTTTATCGTCTTCACCCCCGCCTTTTCCATCATCGTATTTATTATCATCATCATCGCCTATACATAATAATAGAAGAAATAATCACAATACAAATCATAAAAGCAAAAAAGAGAATAAAAATAGGAATAAAGCTTCATTTGAGTCAATTTTAAATAAATCTCTTAAAAATGAAAAAGAATTAGAAATTGCTTTATCAAAATTAAGGAATTTAATATTAGTTCGAGAATTACCAACACCAGAAGATTACAACAATAAAAATCATATCCACAATCATGTTAATAGTAATTTATCACATTCTATACCTACATATTCATCAATTAGATCAAGATTATGGAAATGTTTTCTTGGAGTTTATTATTTATCAGTCGATGAATACACTGGATATTTAAGAAAAGGAAAATCTTGTGTTTATGATAAGATTAGGGATGACACTTTTAGAACTTTGGCTACTGATCAAAGGTTTCTGACAAAAGTTAATGAAGAAATGTTAATTCGTTTATTGAATTCTTTTGTATGGAAGATGAATTGTAAGTATTTATATTATGTGCAACTGTTATTATTTATGTTTTTTTTGCATTAATTAATTAATGTATTATTAATAATTAAAAATTAGATTCTGGTAATAAAGAAATCACATATGTTCAAGGAATGAATGTATTAGCAGCACCTTTCTTATTTGTGATGCCAGAATTAGATGCATTTTATTCTTTTTCAACGTTTATTCAACATTTTTGTCCATTATATGTCACACCTAATTTAGAAGGTGTTCATTCTGGATTAAAGGTAAATAAATAAATTGTCATACGTAATAAATGTATAAAATATATATCTACATACATTATATTGATTTAAAATTGATATTGATTTAGTTGTTGGATAAATGCCTAGAAATTATTGATTCAAATTTATTCATTTATTTAAAATCGAAAAATCTTACGGCTGAAATTTATGCATTTCCATGTAAGCACATATTTGGGAATAATTAATAGATTTATAATTATTATAATATTTATTTATTTTAATTTTTTATTTATTAGCTGTTCTTACATTCTGTGCATGTACACCACCACTTGATCAAGTATTAAAACTTTGGGATTTTTTATTTGCTTATGGGGTACACTTGAATATTTTATGTGTTATTGCTCAACTTGTGTTAATAAGAAATCAAATATTGGAATCTCCAAGGTAAATTATATAAATGTATAAATATAATATTTATGTAAAAAATTATTTATATATCTAATTCTAAAATATTTTTATTTAGTCCAATGAATTTATTAAGAAAAATGCCAGAATTAAAAGCAAAACCAATAATAAATTTAACATTACAACTTGTTCATCAAATACCAAAGGATTTGTATGATTTATTAGTTAGACATCCAATTGAATTTAGTGAAATTTGATTGATATATTTATAAATTATTATATACACTACATATTTTATATGTTTGTCAATAATTTACAAAAACAAATAAATAAATGTATTTTATATCAAGAAATTCCTAAATAAACATCTACCTTTATTCCTTATTCTTCAATTTCACTAGATATTACAGATCTAATTCCTCTATAAACTTGTTTAAGAATATATAACTTTGGTAATAGATTCTACTTGATTTTTTTGAGGAAAAAATAAAAAAGTTGTAATTAATTTTGCCAAATTTCTAAAATAACCTCAATAATTAATTAATTTACCTCAAATACAACCACCATTCTATCCTGATTTTCGACGACTAATGCTAAATAGAATTTAACTTGTAACATTGTTATACCTTCATTTATTATGATATTTGATATTTTAGAAATATCAATAAATTTTGACACGCATCTACCATCCATATACACAGTCTTAACTTGTATTCCTACATCTTTAACTACCAATATGCTCTCTATTTATGGTTGATTGATTGTGGTAAAATTGATTGATATATATATGTAATTGACATAATATATCTTTATCTTTATATCTTTATAACTTTACATCTACATACATTATTATTATGCATTTACCTTCTTTAACCATATTAAACTTTGACCAAATCCATATCACTAACATTATTATACATATTCCATATGACACCCTGGTTTTGTTCTGTCAGTTAAATTACAATAATAATAATTAATTAATTAATTAATTACTTAATATTTTAATTAATAATGATAAATTTATTTACTCACCAAAAAACTTATAAAAAATGCAAGAATAAGTGCAAATATAATATCAGAAATTCCAAGAAATGATTTATTGGACAATACTATATATTCTCTTGCATTGTCGGCTAACAAATTACATAAAAAATATTGATCATTATTTTTGTTATTATTATTATCATTGATGGACATTTTATTATTATGATGATTATTATGTGGATTTATTACATCTTGTATTGCTGCTGTTGAGAATGACGCTAAAGTATTATTATTGTTGTTGTTATTAATAGTAGTAGTATCAATATTATTTATAAATGTTGACATTATTTTTTATTATTATTTTGAACAAAATTGGAATTCACAAAAATTACAAAACGATTTCGCTCACAAAATTTACACTTTACAAAATGATTTTAACTACTTTGCTCAAAACTTTCAAATGTAAGCTGCTACTATAAAGTTTCTATTACCCGTGATCCTTAGCTTTTACTGACCATCTTCTGTATTTAGATGAATGATATTCATACCATAAATGACGAAAATGATAAGGAAGATGATGTAAACGAAGCCAGTGGTATTGACAATGATAGTTCATTGAAAGATATATACACTGGACAAACATTTAAATCATTCAAAGTACTTGAAAAATGTTTGAAACGATATGCAAACCAAACGGGCTTTGAGATTAGAACAGTAATATCTGAAAAAGAAGATGGTACCTGGTCCAGAAAAACGCATAAACGTATCATGGGGGCAAATATGAATATAAGAAAAGGTGGATCCTACACATAACCGAAACCAAGAATCAGTTTGTATTGAACGTGGATTTCTTGTAAATATAACATATTGTAAGCGTCTGGATCTGATATTTTTAACCAATTCGTTGGCGATCATAATCATGCATTACAAAGTGCATCTGCTCTTCACTGTATTACGCAAGATACCAGACAATATCATGGAAGAGGTACAATTCTATGTTCAAAAGTGTCATCTGGTGCTACTGTTTTAAAGAGTGTACCATGAAAAAAATATCCTGATCAAGATATCTACAATCAAAAACTTTACAATACAATATGTAATTAAAAAATAATTATCAACAAAAGATAAGCCAGAAGAATTCATTGAATTATTACGAAATTTTATTAAGGATATTACAGGGAATGGATGGTTGATGTAAAATATTATTATGAAGGCCCAACCATATTTTAATTAAAAAATCCTGAAAAGCAAAAAGGTAAAGATCAACAACTAAACAAATGAAATCATCATTGGAACAAGATTGTATGAAATAAAACAACAAAGATGATGCAAAAATTGTGGTGAAGTTAGGGTTTATCAGAAAAAATGTGAATTATAGATGTTGTGGTTTATTTTTTTATTTGCTGATACATAATGTTTTCAATTGTATACTAATTTGATATTGTGAAATTTGTGTTATTGTAATACTACGAAATAATTGTTTGGTGTGCAGTTCACTCTATCATCTTTGTGTATGCAACACTTGGTTATATGTTTGTTTTTGATTATGGTGTATATGTTGCTGTTGTAAATGATTGGAGTGTCTGGTTGCAGGGACGAGGATTTTTCGTGGTGAAAAAACATTCCAAATAATAGAATGATATTAGCACTTAACCAATTTTAGATATAATTCTGCTTTGTTAATGTTGAAGAGTCCGAGTGGTTGACAGTTGTTAACTGTAAGACTTGCATAATAAGTTATATCTAAAATATTATAAATAATGCAAAATTTTTGCCCATATATATGGTTACAACGCAGTGAGTGGTGCTAGATTATAAAATTGTGATCACAGAATTGAAAAAAAAAAATTGGGTATGAAGAAAAGGAAAGTAAAAATGAATTAGTAGAAAAACCACAAAAGCAAATCGAGAATAAACCAAAGATATATATTATATAAATCTAATAACATTTTTCTTGTCTGATCTTATTTCTCCTTGTGTAGAATTCATTCTCAAGGAGCAGTGTTGAACAATGTACCATCCATACCAATTGAAATGTCCAAAACAAAAGAACAATGCACAATGGTACTCAGGAATGAAGATGAAGCAGTTAAAAAGGTACAGTTCATTCTTTTATAATGAAACTTGCTTTATAACGTACTGAGAATTTAAGCCCAATTAATATCAACATTAATATATAAATTATTATAGTTATATAACGGATTCTCTATACAGTTCACTCTCTCTATAACAGATTTTGCTCTGTAACAAACTGAGAATTTAAGCCCAATTTATATGTCCATATTATTATTGTCTATAACAGACTTTTTCCCCAATACTAGCCCAAATAGTCTGAATGAACTGTAAATAGGAATATAAACATTTTCTAGGTGGGAATTTTAAAAGTTCTAGAATGAATAGCTTTGAACTGGATTTGGCTCTTTGTGAGAAGGAAATTTTGGAAAGCGTGGTGGAAGTAAACGCATGTCTGAGTAGGTAAAAGAGCCTGTTTTTTTGTCAGGAAATGTAGATAAGAAGAATAGATTCACAGATGAAACAATTCTAAAACAAAAGAGAAGCAGATGAGTTGGATGCAAATGAGCACCAAAAAATAAAACTATTAAAATTAGACAACACATTTTAGTAGAGAACTTAAAAAGAAAGAATTGGACTAAAATGCCATAGATCACATGATTTCCTTGAACCTGTATCCAAATCATGTGATTTATTCCAATAGAAGATTTCTGTTTATAAAATATTTTATTTTATATTGTTTATTAAATATGTATTTATATTCTATATAAATTAATTTTTTTTATATGAATGAATGAATGAATGAATGAATGAATGAATTCTATGTATTATTTAAATAATATACAAAATTGTTTATAAATTGAATGATGGAAGGATTGAAATAAATGAATTTTAATGAAATAAATAAAAATGAAAAGAAGTCATTAATCATTAAATGTTTCTTAATTTTTTTACAGTATCAACAACCTCTTTTATCATTTTTAAACTTCTTTTATCACCTAATAAAGCAGTATGGAATGCATTCATACAATAAGCAAAACTAATTTTCAGTTCTTCATTCCATAAAAACATGCTTCCACCTGATCCACCCCATCCAACTAATTCAACATCCTCTAATCCTTCCAATTTAAAACATCCAAATCCACCAATTGATGTTGGAAAGGCTTCTTGCAATTAAGGCTCCGAACGAATTGAATTGAATCGAATTTGAGAGTGATTTGATTTGATTTGATTCATTCTGTAGTCAATTTGATTCGATTCAAATTCAAAAAAACAGGATTTGATTTGATTTGATTTGATTTGATTTGATTCATGACTTGATTCGAATTGATTTGAATCAAACTGGATTCCTAAAAATTTTTTAACATCATATTAATATTAAATTTATATTTTTAATTTGATAATTTAAATTTATATTACACAGTGAATCACAATTAGTGTGCCTCCATTTAATGAATACTAATGAGTCGAGGTCTAAGAATGGTTTAATGATAATAAAATTCTTCTT